GCCATTTTAAAGTCTTAGGCTGCCATGTCTTTCTTTTGAATCAAGATTTCAAGGAGATAGGATGTCTCTTTAGTCTGCTTGTAATTTCATATTTTTTTAGACTAAAATACAGCTTAGTTATTAAGTATGAACATTATAGTGGAATTCTATGGTATTGATGTAGTAATTTATGATTTTTTAGTTATTCAAATAAAAAAAAAAATTATTTTGTTTCATATTCTCCACGTGCAAAATTTTTAAAAGCTTAGCAACCTACGTGAAGCAGCAACTGAGTACAAAGGTCGTAACTAGAAAAGATAACTGTTTGCTTTACTTCTTTAGTTACTGTTCTGTGTTTTAAGAAAAATAAGTTTAAGAACTTATTTCTAAATAGCAATAATCTATATACATATGTAATGTATAATAATTGAAATGTGACCATATTTTACAAAATACTAGTCTACTAAAACACAGCCAAAACAAGGTCAGTTTCATGTTATTTGATACAGTAACGTGAGTACATGTGAACCGCATCATTGTAACTTCTGTACTGTTAGCCAGGCATGGCTGAAAGGTCAATATAATAACAATAATAAATATATATAAATGTATAATGTTATGAGATTTAAGCTACTTCATCTAAACATTTACATTTTCATGTTATAATTTGTGTTCATTCTAAAATGCAAGAGGCATAATTTATATTTATTTGCTAATTTTTTTATGGTGGTTGTTAGATCAGTCAAATCTATCGAACCCGTACAGAAATTAATTAATGAAAATAACAGATAAAATATAAAGTTTTTTGCATTGTAATTTTTACTGAAAATCTGCCAAATTTCGTTAACATTTGCTTACCAATTTAAAAGTTACATTATGAAAACTATAACAAGCACAAAATGGTTACAAAGTTAGTCCCAGAGTTAATAAAAAGTCAACCTCACCAATGCACAGTGTATACCATGTTAAGTATATAAATATTGAGTTTTTAAACCTTATACAAAACGTTTGGTCAGGTAATAATGAATACTGTAATAATATGTTATGTTATAAATAAATTTTGTCAAAGTTAGGATTTTTGTGTTATTTATCATAGCATCCACTCCCACATTTTTTTAAGTTTATTACCCAGACAAAGGATGAGTACCTCAGCTTGTAAGTAACATTAAATTGACAAGTCACTTAAATACTAGTCCAGAACTAGTTAAATGAAAAAAAAATTGTTATTCTCTTTTCCCTTTCTGTTTTTATTGTAGTTTATTTATTGAATCAATTTCAAATTGGTTTTATGTTTTTGTATTTGGTACACTTAGGAACAACTACTGTTTAATCTAATGATTATTCTTTACTACTATCTTAGAATAAATATTATAAATTTAACATGTATCAGAAAAGTAAGCAAAAATCTCAAGATTAGGAAAGTAATTTACTTAACCCTTCCTAAAAAAAAAGCATGTTACGAAGTACTTGATCAAATTTTATCACCAATCACAAGCTCTTTGCAATAATAAAACTGTGTATACATGCAGTAACACCTTACCATTCAACTTTCAAGAGTTATTGAAAAACAAAACTCACTTCTTATCAGATGGATCCTTGTGAGTTGCATCTTCACCACTAGATGACTCTGCACCATGTCCATCATCACTATTCAAAACACATGATCTAAAACAGAAAAATGTATTTAGCTCAAAATTACTAATGACAAAAGCTGTGTACACTATAATTACTCTATGAGATCATCTTATAATAAACAAATTAAGCTGCTGTCTATATTTTCACTTATGTAAAAATATATTTGCTGCAAGTTTAAACTTTATTAACTTTTATTCAATAATATGTAATTTGTTTGCCCAAAACATTATCCAAAATGTTTCCTCTTTCATATGTTCAGCTCTTCTTTTTTTGAAAGACTTACGGTATAGTTTGGCAACTTAGGAAACTAAAGGTTTCTATATGCTACTATATGAAATAGAATCTTCAAATTCAGGTTTTCTTTGCATGAAATGGTTTAAATGTATCTAAAGCTAAACACAGTAAGTCACCTGTTTTACTTCTTTCAAATATAAAACAAAATTAAAGCATGATTTGTACACAAATTAGAGAGAACTTAAAATGTGTGTGATGAAACTTCATTATTTCTATTGAGATGTCACAGAAAACTGTAACCTATCAATGCAAAAATTAAATAAAATAATAAAAGTACTAAATTCAAAACTTTTTGTGAGATATATAAATTTTAACACTGATAATTATCAGGGAACTTAAATATATTTTAATGAAAACTGAATATGAGGAAGAGGAATCATTTCTGTGAAAACTATCATCAGCTGTGACACTATACTTTCGTAGAATTGTAATATAACAATCCTACATCCTGTAAAAGTATCCATACAGAGTTATTTATAAGAAAGTGCAAGTTAACTGCTTTCAGTATTGTGGTAGAATCAATTTATTCCTAATTCTTTAATGAACTGTACAATTTCCAAGTTTTGGAAGTATATGAACAACAAAATACAAGAACAACAATGCTTTTCTGTAAACTGACACTGAAAAAGTATTTCACTTCTTACAAAATATATTAGTTTCAAAAAAGTTTTTGCTTAAATTAGTAAGTGCTTCTTTATGATATGTTTAACTTTAAAAATCCATTGTAATACTTTGTAAGATTAAAGTTATACCATATACAGGGCTTGAAAACTTATTAAAAATTTCATGTTCTAAAGTGATACCAGAATTAAAATTTTGAGTGTCCCCTAAAAAAGTGTCAGGGTTAGAAGAACCAGAAGCAAAGGAAAGGTATGTGAAGAGCTTGTTAAAAACCCTTCAAATATCCAAGTCCTATATCCAAGACAATGAACGTAAGACAGAACCAATCATTTGATGTACTATGGCAATTACATTTCTCACCATCAGAGTACCTCCAAATGCCACAGACATAAGAAATGTGGATGTGAGAATTCTTTTTTAAATAACATCCATGAAACTGTATCAAAATTATCAGAATTTATTTGAAAAACACAAAATCTCCTCCCACTATAGATCAATTTTCTCACTTGCTCACAATTGCAAAACCACTTTCAACAACCAACAATTTAAAATTAGACTGTGGTCTATTAAAAAAGCATTTCTACATGACTAGATACTGAAATATCAAATGCACAATCTTTAAACAACAATTTACAAAAATAAAAAAAAAGAGAAAAATCATCCATAAATATCTTAAACTAAGAGTAATAGATAATTGAAATGGTTTATATCTTACTGATCTGAAGAAGCAAACATGTTGTTCCACAATACAGACATACGAGGGGCTTACTTGGAAAACAGACTGTCAGAGCCTTGTAATTTTTCTTGCTCCAAAGGTGAGGTCTGGGGGGCAATCACTACTTGTCGAATTTTTTTAAATCTATGCAAATTTAGTTGAATCTTCAAGGTCATCTGAAAACACCCCTGATAGGTGACATCCATGTCTATCCACAACCCTTGCTGATCCATGGCTGGATCAGACACTCGATGAATTATAGGAATGCTTGTTCCAATATCTATCTCTATCAGCTGAAGCTCTTCTATGAAGGAGGGTACCTATCACCACAAAAAAAATGTAGTTCTGACTGAACTTTTCTTTCACTTTACTTCACTTGTGCTCGCTTGCCACTTATATAAATACCTTATTCACTGAGACCTCAGACAAATAGTGAAGATTCGAGTAATGCGACGTCAACAATATTAAAAGCCTAGACAACAATGTAATTGCAAACACAACATACGACTCTTACTGAGTTATGCAACCAAACTTGTCACAACTATCGCCTTCGAAATGATCAATTTTGTTACAAAAAAACTAAACAATCATTAATTATTAACTCACAAAATAAACCAAATAATAACACCTACAATATATCCAACAAATATGGATTGTAATATATACTGATAAAAAGTTGATGAGGATTCTTTTGCAATACAATGTGAATGATGTAATATACAGGAACATGAAAATTCCTTAAAATATCAGAGTTAATCTAAATTGATAGATAAAAATAAAGGCAATATGATGTAGATTCATGACAAATTTAAGTATGTAGTAAAAGTACTAGCTACACAAATTATTCGGTAAAATAAAGAATAAACAAAATGATATTGAAAAGAAACTGAATGTTGTGGAAATGAATCAAAACAATTTAGTGAGGTCAACTTTTCTGGAAGAAATGAATAGACAAACCATGGAAGTAAAATAAAAATATTTTGAGATTGTTAAAGTTAAAGAATGGACACAAAAAGATGAATAAAACTGAGGATGCAATTAACAAAGTGATTGATATAACATTGAAAGATTGTAAAGTGAAAGAAAAGTAGAAAATGTTTTTTCAATCTGTTATAATGTGATTGATTCAAATGATAAATAAGCACGGTAAAAAAAAGTTAAAGAAATTTATAGCAGATAATTAAATTAGGAGAGTTTAATCAGAATAGATCTATGGATAAACCTAGACCATTAAAAGAAAAATTGTTGATGTAGCACAGAAATCAGAGATTTTAAGGAAAACTAAAATTTTGAGAGGTAGTCCTAAAAAGTTCCAGAAAAAAAATAGACAAGCAGCTTTTTCAAGAACCCAAAATAAGAAAAGTAAATGGTGAGACAAGTTTGATAATAAGATACAGATAATATTCAGAAAGATGAGAACAAATAATAAAGATAAAATTCAGAGGAAAAACTGAGAAAATGGCAGTACTGGGTGCTGCAGATACTAAATTACCAGAAGTATCATATCCATCAGACCAGATCTTTCTATAATTCCCAAACCCATTTTGGTGAGAGAAAGGAAAGGATTCAGACAACAGGCCATGCAAAATAATACAACATTGAGTTGAAAAAAATGATAGAATTGGTGTTAAAAATTTTAACCACTAAAGATATTTTAAATTGTTTCTTTACTAATACACAAAATTTAAACAACAATTTAGTCAAATTTATGAAAATTGTTGTAATGAGAAGGCCAAAGATTGTAGGGGGTAAACAAATCATATATTTAAAATAATTGTGATATAAATATTAAATTATAGGATTATACCTTACACTAGAATGACAAAGGAAGAGGGGGTTCTAATATACAGAAATTAGTAATTGTAATAGCACAAAGATAACTCTCAGTGAGCATTGGTAGAACCAGAGAGGATGGGTTGATTGCTTTCTATTACCCCCGGAAAAAAAGCACAACCTGGGAGGCAACAATAGCCACATGGCAGGATCCTATAAAAAGGAAGAAAATATACTTACTTTTCTCAAAGATAATGTGTAGATTGAAGAACAGTGACTGGAGGGTGATGAAACCACACAAGAGATGAAACAGCAAGATGATGAAGATAATGGGAGATGAATATGTGTGGAGTCATCCACATGCCTGCCTAAAGGATCTCCTCTAATGGTTGGCAAAAGTGAGATGAAAGAGAATGAGACAAGTGACAAAGCTGTCATGATAAAATGTAAAAGAGCCTGCAAGCATCAATATCCAGGGAAGAATACATTAATCGTAAGAGTTGGCAGACCTTAGCTATGAAGGTAGAGGGCGAGAGGTCCCAAGGTAGAAACAAACAATGATGGAAACCCAAAAAGAATACATATGTATCAAGGATCACTAAACAGCCCAAACCAGACACAGAAGATAACCTGGATCCAAACAAGTATAGAGGTGAACAACTGAAAAGAACGAGATAGGATAAAAAGAATGACCACCAACCCAAGCAGTTGAAGTATTAGGAAGAAAAACAGTCAAGGTAGAGAAGTGTGGGAAGCAACAATGGCATATATATATCTGAACAATGACAACCATATGTTAGAAAGAGAATGAAATATGCCTTCAGGCAAAGATGGTATAAGGAACATTTAAGCCAACAGCTCAAATGGAGCCTGTGAAAAGAGAATGTAAAACCCCATTATGGGAGTAAGATGAGGGGTTCATTGAAGAAGAAAGGATCTGAACAAACTGGAGAGAACAGAGGAGGTAAGTAGTGGTATTAGAAAATTAGATTCAGGGTCAGCACTAGGCACCTGTGGACTCTGCCCCCTCTAAGGACTCCAAGTTTGTTCTTTTAATTGGTGATAAAAGGTTGGTTAATGTATAAAAGTGTACTTGTATGAGATTTGTGTGCCTGGAAACCCAACAACCAGTGGTATAGGTGCCCCATTTTTACTTTTTGCAGAAGTCACAAATGCTTCATTATACCGTTAAAATGGAAATAAGCAAGGATATGAAGTTTATGAAAGTTTACAAGCCATAAGTTTCAATATTCCAGTCACATCTGAGAAACAATGGTTATTTTCAAAAGAAAACCAATAAAGAAAACTCTAATCATGGCAATTTCATTCAACCACACACACTATGAAGTCCCCCAGTTCAGCTCAAACTGACTTTTGAATTTTTGATCCACTTATATGTGGTCTTATAAGTCAATGTCCAAGTACAGTGGAGGGTCTGTAGAAATGTTGTCAAGATGTACAGTCTAAGATTGTTCTTAGGGTCATTCAACAGAAGCCTGTTTAAATCGATATTACAATGTTAAGTAACAGTACGTAAATATGACCATTAGACTGAGCATAACTTATAATAGAGGAAGTAGTCCAAGGACAATATGGAATACCTTTCTCATGAAGCATGATTAACCTCAGTAAAATGACCAAAACATCTCATATTAAATATGTTTACCCAGCCAAAGCAGTATTACCTGATCATTTGATACAGACAACTTGACTTACTGCTCATACAGCATCTTGGATTATATCATATTCTTGTCATGCATTAAATTAAGCTCAAGGCAGTAAGAAAAAAAATGAAGACATAAAAAACAAAATGTGATGAAAGCACAGTTGATATAAATAAGAAGCCACGATGAAAGAATTAGCACAATGGATTATCAAAAAATTGTAGCTTTCCAAAGACCCAGAAACTCAATTAGTTGACCATTCTTCTTCAAGAGTAAAAAGGGTAAAGAGTACATGAGAAATTGACCAAGAGTAAGAAACCAAGATAAAATGGCTTAGAGGCTACACATTTTAATAGAAGTTGTTCATTTTTAAACTTCTAAGTAATGGTAAGCAAGAACACAAGTTGTTTATGCTAATATATTAAATAAATATATTCAAAATGTTAAGTCAACAAGAGAATAACACAAAAACAGGTAATTAAACAGATTGACTACATAATAATGAACTAGTAATCTCAATATTACAAAAGAATGGATTAAGAAATCCTAAACTTTCTTAATGTCAATTTAACTCAGTAAAAGAAAAAAGCATTTACTAATATTTTAACCCACTTACTTTGATTTTACTGAGCTTGTGCTGAATTTTATCAGCTACTGCAATAGACCAATAGTTTTTTGAAAGGAAATCATAAAATATTCTTCGAATAAAAGCATTAAGCCACAAGGTGGTGTCCTTACATGGAGATGATAAACTTTTGTTAGAGCCATATGAACTTTTCCCAATTGATCCTAAAATCATTCTTTTATCTTTAAAGAGACTTGATCTGCCATCAGAAGTTATCTTTGCTGCATTTGACTTAAAAAGTGCTGTCATGTATGTCATAAAATCCAAATTTTTCTCCTTTTCCACTTCACCTGAAGTAATATCTTCTTTAATGATAGATACTGATCCTCCTGAATAGATATCTAAATCCGTAAACATTGATTGTTTATAAGGGCTAACATCACTTTCATTTTCTTCAGAGTTCGTGCTTTTTTGTTCTTTATCACCTTCACTCTGTGTGCTTTGTGGTTCACTAGCATTTTTAAATCGATGATACCATGCTTCTTTTTCTCGCCCAGTGCGAGCAAATAAATACAACTTCACTAAACTTTGTTCTTTTTTTATGCTGTTTTGTGAATTCTCTTCTGTATCACTAGCTGATTTTTTAGAAGAATCCATCTGTGGAGACTTAAATCTTGAGGAAAGCTCCGACATATGAGTATTATCTTCACTTGGTTCATTATGGAATATTTTAGAATTAATGATGACAATAGATATAGGATACTCCTTATTCCACAACCTAAGGAATGAATTATTTTTTTAAGTTAAAACAAAATTTAAATGTAAATAAAAAGTATTAAATTTTTTAGCTGTGGAAAATGGGAGATTAACTGAAGTATTTCCAAGCTATACTAGTAAATGACACAACTACTCAACAAAACAATCTTAAAATCCTATGAATTACAAGGATTAATGCCATTACTTATTGTGAAGTTTTATTATTTGTTTGTGAAATATTTCAGAATTTTAGGCCTATGTAATTATTCTATGAATACACCACAAATTAATTTCATGAATAATCTTAATTTTGATTGGTTCACAAAGGAATTTAACAATGTTTGACTGCCTTGACTGCACTTTTCTGCCTTTTTGTTGGTCAAACTTGATTTTGCAAAATGTATTTATTTCAATTAGCAATGAAATGTGAGGTTAAGGTATACTATGGCGTAGGGATGGTAGTACTTGCCATGTCATTTTTGATGGGATTTACGTTAATAAAATTAATAGTTCATAGTGTCACATCAACAAACATTTATTTGTTAATTTCTTTTCTTCATCAAGACATGAATTTCACTGAAAAAAAAGATTATGCAGAAGCCATAACTGTATGAGGCCTACTTTATTTAGTTATTTCATTCTTCCAAGCAGCATTGATGAGCAGTGATTCAGCAAAACTAGTCTGTTACAGCGGGAGTAGTGAATCAAAGAAAAGATTAGGCCTTTACATAATATTTCATTCACTGAAATTTCTTTTTGATAAAGAAAAGAAAGTAAAAAATAAATAACCAATTAGTCCACTAAATAATAAGGATAACTTTTATGTCACATGTTATCCAAACACTTGAAATAACTTAGGTTATTAGTAGTTGGTAAAGAACAATACATCTAAACTAAACAGGCAGCTTACGTTCCATTACTATATGAGGCCTATTTTATTTACTTCAATCTTCCAAGCAGCACTGATGAATACTTAATTTGTTGCAACTAGTCTGTTGTAGTAGGAGTAGCAATTGAAAGAATAGATTAAGCCTCTAAACAATCTTTTCTTCACTACAGTTCATATTTTGATGAAGAAAAGAAATTACAAATAAATAACCATTTAGTTGGCTGAATGATAATGGATAATTAACTGTAATGGTATGTCACATGTTATCCAAACACCTAAAATATTTTATGTTATTAGTGGTGAGTAATGGACATCTAAACCAAACACATTCACAAATGTAATTTTTTCTACACATGTCACAACAGCAGGATTAGAGAAAATATGCCTTGGACTTAAATCTTTTAAGTATTCATAATAAATACAATTTTACAAGCAAATAATTTCTACATAGTTTTTATATAAAGCTTTGTTTCCTAACTATTACCACAAAAAAGTAAATATGAAGTACAAATTTATAATTGAGAGTACTTGTAGTTTTTTTTATATAAATTTTTTTTATAACATTTAACTCGTACCTCTTTCTGGTTAAACCCACTGGTTGTAAAGATATAGTGGCTCCTTTCAAGTCATAGTGTCTTTGATGAATAAACAATGGCTCATCACAATGTTCATTCCACGTGGCTCGTTTTGATACATTATATTTTGGACGGGACAAAAACAAGTGAAGAATCATCTAGACGAACATACACTGACTGTGTTTTGTTCACATGGTATGTGTCAGGATCATAGTCAAAGGGTAGCTCATTCATCCATCCCTAAATATGTGCAAATACATTCATGTTTTATTATAACACATTAAAAAAAGACAAAACATAAACAGTACAAGATTTGTTACTGAAGTCAAATACCATGCCAGTACTATAATGAATTGTGATTTTAAAAGTGGCATTAAAACATTACACAAGTTCTGTAAATAGTATAAATTTTGAAAATAATTGTGGTTCATTGGTGTCTTGAAAATACAAACAACCCATTTATGTGTAACCTTTCTCATCCATATGATTATGAAGAATCAAACTATCAGTATAGTTAACTTTGAGTAGGATTCACAGAGGAACACTAAAGAAAAAAGCTTTTTAAAGGGTTCTTCTTCAAAAACACAAATACAAAATTAATTTATGCTTGATTAATATTAAATGTGAATTTCTCTACCAATTTGTAAGATTTACATGAATAAATCCATTACTTTGTGTGTGTTAAATGCTGATAATGAAAGCTGGATTCTTCCACCATCTCAAATATGCTGCAAAATTCATTACATTTCTATGAATCTGTATTAGGTAATTATGGTAATATCATGACTAATGTATTGTCAATTTTGTGACTCTGTTTTTTTGGTTAAAAATATATGTTTTCAAATTTACTTATTTGTTTATAATGGATTTTTGGCTTATTCTAAGTAAGAATAAAATAAATAAATTGTAATAATGCAAAAAAAAACGTTTTTAAAGATTTCACTGGGAGACCTGTAACAGTGATCCTTGATCCATGCTAAATTATATAAAGTACTCTTAGTGTATGACATGTAATTGTTTGTTACAGTTGATGTTGCTTAATAAAGTTCTTTTAAGTCAAGTTTTTTTTGGTTTAAAAATATACCATGGTATTAGTGTTATTTACCCTAACTGTTTACATACATGCTCCACAAATATCCTTAAGTGAATACAAAACTCAAAACTTTTTACAGACCTAAAAATTTGGCCAAATGTTTCAGGCAGTAGTGGGGGTTGATACCTTAAAAGAACAGATGATTTTCTTAAAAATAAATTATGGATTTTAATTTTTTTCCTGGATAGGTATATAGGGACAACCTTTAAGGACCGAGTGGTTCCTTGTTGTCTGTAATGTTATGTTTACAATCAAATATAAAATTAACTAATCTAGTTTTAACAATTTTCTACTAAAACAGTTAACCTTTCAGCTAACTTAAAAAACTTTAAAAAGACAAATAACAGAAAAACAAACTTATCAAATATTAGTTTTATACAATCCCTTAAATTTGAACAATTATTTACATAAAACTTTATAAGACTTTATAAGTTTAGGTTTAACAAAAAACACCAAATGCTGTTCATAAGTGAATAATATATCACTTTACAAAAAACATTAATATTATAATAAATTAACACCACTTAGACATAACATAGGACACAAGACCTAAATATAGATATAATATGGCAATGAAGTGCTGTTATTAGGCCTAGGAATAAAATTGAATTACACAAATTTCTTTAACTTTAAAGCAAAAGCAAATTAACAGTCACATGCAAGCCCAGAAGCTCTAACTTGTGTTTTAATATTATATATATTACTAGAACAGAACGATTAATCTCAATTTAATCTCTCAAAGCAAAAAAAGTATCAGGCAAAAACTGCTAAAACACATTAAAGTACTAAATTACATGTAAAATATAATAAACTATTTAAAAAACAAAACTAGTATCACAGGGTCTGAAATGGAAAATTAGTAAACATATAATACACTTTGTAAGCCCAATTTCAGAATTACTTGCTTTGTATTTATTATTGTTCAAGAGAGTATACAGATGCTAATGTTTAAATTTAGTTTGAGATAGTTGTTTTGGTAAGAGATGACCTCAATGAACTCTTTTGAATGGTCTATGCTATGACCTCATAAGTACAAGCTTTGGAAGCTCATATTTAGACTCAATATTTGACCAACCTCTCTGTGAATGAGTCTGTTAAGTATAAACTTTTTAGAATAGGTGTGTGTGTGTGCTCATTCTCATTCATTAATACATATATATAAAATTACACTTAGCAAACCTTGTACATGTAAATTCCACTTTTTTTTTTCTAAATTTTTTCTGACAGGAAACTTACAAAAAAATTTTAAGTTTTGTTACAAACTCTGCACAAGTTTCTTTATAAACTCATCTAAATTAGGTGTATTGTTCATACTAATCAGATATGCATTTGCAAGTACATAAATTTTCATTTGTGACAGAATAAGCATTATTCAAGATAGAGAAGCAAATTTAGTATCTTTATCATAGGAATAATTTTATCATTCACCTTGTAAATAACATAGTACTTCTTTTACCTTGTAAATATTATGATCTTCCACTGGTACTCCTACTGGTACCTTCAAAGGAGGTAATGTATTATAGTCAGGAATTTCCAAAGGTTGTTTCATACTTGGAGGTCTAACCAACCACCAAGATCCATATACTATGAGTCCTGAGAGGCATGCTCCCATAATGAAACCAGAAAAATATGATGGCAAAAAACTAGCTGCAAAAATCAAGGAGGTGAGCATTACAAACAACCACGTATAAGACAAGTTATAAATTCTGCTGAATACCTTGGAAGATTTGTTCCATCTTTTTTTCAATATATCAAAGTAAACTTTCAACAATGAGTTTGTGTGTTTCACAGACTCAGGTTTTTCACGTTTCTCAACCATAACAGGCATTACATGTGGAGCCTCTACTTTCTCTTCTTGTACTACAAACTCCCAAGTGTCTAAATCATTATCTTCTTTGGAACAAGGCCTTGAAGTATATGATGCCAATAAAGAGGAAAATGTTACCAATGATGGAACACTGACCTTAGTATGGACCTGCTGACTGGATGAGTCAGATATAAAGGAAGTAATACTGGTGTCCAACATTTTAGAGTGTGACGTATAATTAGAACTGTCAGATGAAATTTTACTTTCCATATTCATGCATGAATAACTATCAGAAATAAATTCTTCCTGCAAACACTCCTTGGCCTTTTCTATTATATCTGTACTCTCTTTCAGCCTGCTTTCATTCGTGGAATCTTGTAGTTGCTCTCCCACTGGATCTTCAACTTGTGCTATTTGTTCTGACAAATAATCTTCCTTTTGGGAGCCAGTAAATGGGTGTTTCCTTTCTTCATATTGTGTACCAGGATGAGCACCAGGAACTGAATCTTTATTTATCTTTTCATGAGCAGTTTTAGTTAAGCGTTCAGTTATCCCACTAAGAAATGAACGTGACTCGCAATCTGCAGCTTTAGATGTATCAAGACTAGATGTGCGTTTCCCAAGTTTGGCAAAGTATTCCCTCATAGTTTCTTTTTTTGGTGATGAATCTCTTGCATCTATATTACAAAATGGAGTGGACATTGTACTATCCACTTTGTTTTTTTCCATACATTTTGAGTCTGCTTCACTTCTAACTACTTCTTCCACTGATAATCTTTGGTTGCCTTTCACTTCTTCATTTTTTGTTTCTACTACCATTTTTCCTTTTCCATCTTTTTCACAAGTTGATATCAAATTAAATTGCATAAAGCCTTTTTTAGTATCCTTTACAGAAACAGTTTTATGAAAAAGACGTGCTCTTGTGTCTTTGAGACATTCTTTAGTGGCAACTTTTTTATTAGATTTACCTATAAATGTTTCTTTTTCTTCTGAAACTTCCTCTAGGTTTTCTTCTATGGGGTTAAATCGGAAAGAAATTGTGTTTGCCAGGCTGGGGGCTTGTTTCCCTTTAAATTTGGAATGTATTTTGTTTGACATTGTCAAAATTGTCTCTTTTTTTTTCTTATATTTGATGAGTTGTTTGTGTTATGCTTACAGAAAAGATAAATGCAAGAACTTGATTATGGGTTTGATGTTTAATATCTGCAAAACAAGAAAAGTCACTAAAATTAAATATCCCAAAATAAACAGATAACCCTTTATACACAAATTACAAACATTTTACACTGTACTAACAAGAAAAAATAATGTAAAACAATAATTTAGGCTTTACATTTACCAATGTAACGTGGTGTTTATACATGGCTCAATCTTGAGGAAAAACTGGAACGTTTAGAGAATGATGAGGCTCCTATACCAGATATTTCCCCAAGATATTTGAAGGAGGTTAGGGTTTGGATATATGAGTCACTTACAAATATTTTTTATAAGTCCTTAAAATAGTGGGCAAGTGCAAGATAATTGGAAGCTGGCTAATGTTACTACTATTTGCAAGGGAAGTGGTACAAACTGTTAATGAACTTATAAACTTATTAGTTTTACATCACTGGTGGTAAAAGTTTTTAAAAGGTTAATAAAAGATACTTTGCAAATTCATTTAACAAAATCTAAAATTTTGTTGGACACTCAACATGGTTTCACTGGGATGAAAATCTTGTCTTACTGATCATTTGAGATTCTTTGGAGAGATTACTGCACATGTAGATGAGAGAATGAATGTGGATTTAGTGTATCTGGATTTCATAAAATATATGACAAGGTGCCATATAAAATGACTTCTAAAAATAATTATGCATGTACAGATGTGAGGGATAAGTTGGCTCAGCTTGAGAAATGGCAGGATAGAAGAAAGCAGAGGATTGTCATAAATGGAGTTCAGGCTCCCTATCTTAACAAAGACATTGAATTGTTGGAAAGTGTTTGAAGGAGGGCTACTAGGTATGATACTTTGGATGGATAGGTTGTCATATGAGGAGGTTAAGATGTTCAAAATTGTTTTCTCTGGATAAAAGAAACTTAGAGTAGATCTAATTCAGATGTTTAAGATTTTTAATGAAATTGATACATCATCTTTTTCCATACTTAATGGTGAGAATGGTAGGACAAGAAGACACAAAAATACATTTTGGCAACATAGGAGTCGATGATCAACTTCAGCAAAAAAGTTTTATTTTTATAACAGGATTGTTGACTTTTGGAATGGGTTACCTTCATATATAGTGGATACAGTACATTTTAAGGAGGTTAAGAGAAGACTCGATAAATATTTAAACGATAAGGGCTAGTTTTCTAAAGTTTAGAGGATGGGACATACTCATTGAACCAACGGGCCCCTTATTGTCCTCAAATGTTAACTTTTTCCAAGTATATTACTTACAAGTTAAGATTTGGCTCATACAGTTAAAATTTTTATCATAATAATTAACATTTAATACCATCCCAATGAATGAGATATAATAAACTATTGGAAAGTAACTTCATCTAAAGCAGTATTTTATGAAGTTTAAGTCTTAAAACACAAAATAAATAATGATTACACTTGCAACTGCTTTAAAAGCAGAATACAGACAACATAACTTGCTACATAAACTGAAAATCTTATCTTGTCCCAGTAACACTGCATGTTCAAGCTAGTATTACACTCAACTACAGCATCAAATTCACACTAAGTCTTTTGTGTTTATATCAGTCATCTATGTTGATAAAACTGGAATTAAATCCAAAGCATGAAAACATTCAGATTATTAGTGTTCCACAACTATTTTCATTGATCATGTCACATTTGGAGCATTTCATTCAGTCTTGGGTGCCTTACCTTAGGAAGGGCATTGAATTATTGGAAAGAGTTAGGATGAGACCTACTAGGATGATACCTGGGATGGAAAGATTATCATACAATGTTAGGCTAAGATCTCTGAAATTGTTTTCTCTGTTGGAGTGGATCTGATTGAAGTGTTTAAGATTGTTAAAGGAATTATTAGTGTTAATGCATAATATTTTTTCATATTAAATAGTAAGGATAGTATGACTAGGAGACACAAATATAAATTTTGACAGAGTAGGAGTCATCTTCAGCTAAGACAGCTTTATTTTTCTAACAGTATGGCCTTTGGAATGAGTTGCCTTCAGATATGGTGGATGCAGTTAATTTTGGGAAGTTTAAGGGAAGGCTTGATAAATAATTGAATGATAATGGTTGGCTTCAAGTATTATATTTTTATTTTAAACTTTAGTTTAGTGAATGGGATGGCCTACATGAACCAACATGTCTCTTGTTGTCCTTAAACTATATGTATATAAATTTATGTATGTATATAAAAGTATAGTATATATATACATACTACTAATGTACTACTACTTATGCTATGCTGGAAAGAAAAACAAACCACATATATTTGCTTTCCTTCCAAAAATAAGTGTGGAATGCTTATTTATGATCTCAAGCAAAGTTTTCACACTTCTTAGCCTTTGGCATTGATGTTCAGTGGCAGTGTCAACACAGAATATGACTGATGTAATTTACAAACAGATGCAGGGTATGAACTTACACCTGAACCAATGTAATGATTTACATAATACATTATTATTATGTTAATGGTTACAATGTAACTATAAGTAACTGTACTTTGTTAACACTTTAAAAATTTAATGATACGTTTAATTTGACGTTTGATTCGGTTAAATTAGTTGGAACTTAATTCAATGTCTCTATCATATGATATCGATATGATAATAATATTTGGCATACATTACTGGTATTATTATAATGATACAATATTAATTTTAAATTGTTATGAAAAAGATCACTTTACACAGTTACAACTTACACTGTTAGTGTTACAGCACTAATACTAATAGTAATACTACTAATGAATAATGTTATTAATAAGAGCAATACTAATAATAACAAATAAACTTCCGAGGAATTTGGTTATGATAGTAGATTTTAATAATTGTTATCAATTAACAAACCGAAGCAAAATAAATTCATCCATTGCTTAACTTACAACCCACTTCTCGAATTTTCACATCCTACAATACCCAACTAGATAACACAGTTCAAAGTTCTATTTCTATCATCAGCTGATGTCAAGCAGAAACGACACTAGCGCTACCATACATTTGTCTTTATCTGATTGCTTTTCCATGGCTTTTATTTTTTTCAATGCAAAAACAAACAAAATACCTAAAATGATAAAATACAATATTTCACAAAAATATCAATTGACAACAATGATATGATAGCTTATATAATGCACCAATTAAAAATTTAATTTATATGATATTTATTAAAACAGTCTTAACCTGTTGTTGATCTAATTTAAAATATTGTCCCCCCCCCCCACCTAGTGGCGTCTTATAACGCTAAACACCGGGTTTCAATGGAAAACCCGTGGTAGGCGCAGTACAGGCAATTAGCTCAATGTGTAGCTTTGTGCTAAAAACAACAAAAATATACAAAACAAGATACACCTCTAAGAAGGTGGTATCTTAATGGAATACTTAATAATGACAAAAACGTGTACATAAACCAAAAGTAAGAATGATATAAATTAACCGAGTAAAAGAAAAAATGTGGAAATGAGTTTTATGTTTAAGAAGTTCTTTTGGTAAAAACTGAAATAAATGTTACGATCGAGGCGCACAAAATATTATTAACTTTCAAATTGCTAAATACAAATAGAAACAGGGAACACGACGATTTCGAGTTTTTGTCTTTTCAAGAAAAGAACATCGTAAATGATCACTGAAAAATAAGTAAAAACAGTACACAACTCCTCAGAACTATTTTAGATTCAGAAGAAAATGCACAGTAGATGTGCAAAAATTATGAAAAAAAAATTGTTTTGTTTTTAATTTCGCACAAAGCTACACAACAGATATCTGCGCTAGCCGTCCCTAATATACCAGTGATAATAGACTAGAAGGAAAGCAATTAGTCAATGCCAACTATCGCCATCTCTTGGGACCATCACATTATAATGCCCCTACAGCTGAAAGAGCGAGCGTGTTAGGCGACGAGATTGTAAGTCGAGTGCCTTAGCCAACAGGCCCATTAAGAAAAAGAGAAAACAGTCTGAACATACTGTTGCTTATCTGCTTGTTTGTTAATTTCCGTTATAAATTCTTTCCGAGAAACTTCAGCGATACAAGTTCTTTCTTGATTAACCCAGTTTATTCTTCCTCGATACAAACTTTTAATATACAGTAATTTCACAGAGAGTACGTACCTCGTCAATCTAAACTTTTATAACACACGTTATAAATCACAGTGATTCACACACTTTACTTACGGTGCCTATTCTTCGCTTGACGCAATTATCTCTCCGCCGCTGGCTTTCTTTGCCAGGCTTATATATACTAAAAAAAAGAGAGCATCTAGATCACACTCGATCTGGTGGGCAAATTCATGATCATTCGAGAGACTTCAGCGCGCATGCTCTCAGTGTCGCGTGACTTCCGCTGTCGTAACAATACCAGTATGGGTTGAAAGTGATGAATGTACCAGGCCCACCGGCTCAGGAGGTCTAGAATGACCTCCTTCTGAAACCAAACAAAATACAAGAAGCAGTAGATTAATGATTTATTTTTATAAAGGAGCCAACAAAAACCATTTTGCACCCAAATCCCGAGATTTTTTGCTGCGGCGCTGGACAACAGATTAAACATCTGTTAATGTGTGTAACTCGGCACCTAAAAGTTTCATAAAGGAAGTCATTGTTGGATGTTGTTACTCATGAATGTGTACACAACATGGATATGAATTTGCAATGTGCATGCATATTATATGCTATCTATCTTCTTTTATTAATGTAAAAACATTCACAAAATTTTCACTTGGTATAATTCTGTGCAATTTTCTCATAAACAGGTGATCCAGAAAATTATTGAATTGTTTTTACTCTAGTTACATTTCTTCCTTTGTTGCTCTCTAGCAGATAGTATATACTTTGCCTACGGATATACTGCTACACCTTTGCACATTGTCAACGACAACAATGTCTTTAACTTGCTGAATAAATGATGTTTAGATGTTACAACCTTCACTAGATTGTATGCGAACGACCAGTCACCTGTTAACATGTGTTGCGATGGGTAAATCCAGCGATTCCTGTTAATACTGAGTGTTGACTTATCATCAGTTTTACTAGGTTTCTGATGTGAGTCGGTTGACAGGAAAACGTCTCGAGGGAAGAATATCCATGCTCACTGATATATTGATCCTATAGAAAGCGATTGTCCAGCGTTCACACAAGTATGTATACTAAATTTTGTACTTTGATATACATATGTAATGATTCTGCTATACTTTACATCACGTGTATAATTTGTTCATTTTGTTAGCTTAAACATCAGTTGTTTAACTAAACTCAGATATACTCCACAATTTTCCTGATCGATCCTCCCTTTATAAAGTAGATCTATTTAATGTTCGTATGGATATCAGTCTTACGCGAGAATACCACCACAAATGCCTAACAGAAATAATAATTTTAATTTTATGATTGTAATAAGCAAGTGCTGAAACTGAGTCTGTCCTAAGAAATGAATGAAATAAACACAACCTTTATTTATAAAACACAAAGGAATAGGGCGTGTAATTCACCTTATAGAGGATAAACAATTACCTAGTCCAAGCTAAGTGATTCACTCTGGATAATGTTCCAGACTGATTAAATCTCATATTACCTAGTTAAGTGCAAAGCTACACAATGGGATATCTGCATGTGCTCATCGAAACCCAAATGTTAAATTTATAAGATATCAGCTAGACTTACTGCTTTGAAGGGAGTACCACTGTTCAGTGAGTGCCATGCGAAGCAAATAATTTCATGTGTTTTTGTTGTATATTTTTCACAGCTCGGGGTTGGCCCCCCAGTGGCACAGCGATATGTCTGCGGACTTACAGCACTAGAAATCTGGTTTAGATACCCGTGGTGGGCAGAGCACAGATAGCCCACTGTGTAGCTTTGTGCTTAATTACAAACAAAAAACAGCTCGGGGTTGTGAGTTGTAGAGTCCAAGGTTTCTTCCTTAAAGCAGCTGAACATACTTTATATACACTTTCAAATGTGATTTCATTATGAGAGTGACAGTTAATCTTACTATTCAATTAAGAATAGCTTGTTTATTTGTTTTGAATTTCGCGCAAAGCTACAAGAGGGCTACCTGCGCTAGCCGTCTCTAATTTAACAGTGAAAGACTAGAGGGAAGGCAGCTAGTCATCACCACCCACTGCCAACTCTTGGGCTACTCATTTACCAACGAATAGTAGGATTGACCATCACATTATAATGCCCCCACGGCTGAAAGGGCGAGCATGTTTGGATGGGACGAGGATTCGAACCCGCGACCCCTCAAATTGCGAGTTAAGCGCCTTAATTACTTGGTCATACCGGACCTAAGGATAGCCGTGCAGATTGCAGGTGATGCTGACTGTTGCATCCTCTCCACCAGGTTAGTAGTTAAAAATTAGTAATGGGTATACTTAAACCTTATACATATGGGTCTCCGACTGCTTGTGCGCATAAATATTTTAAGCGCGAACTTACAGGATGGGCTATCTGTGCTGTACTCACCACAAGTATCAAAACCCGATTTTTAGCATTATAAGCCCTCAGACTTACCGCTCAGTTGATATATTAAAATAGTGTCTTACTGCATATATATATATATATATAGTCCTTGCTCTACTTTTTATTTTATAGTGGCTAATTATATTTGCAAATATAACTGCTGTTCAAATTTCGTCAATAAAATATTAATAAATCACATTAAAAATAATTAAAGGATTTTGAGTGTTATATAAAAGTTTCATATTGAAAATAGCGGATTTTAATTTTTATCGTAATTTTTACGTAATTTGTTATTATAACGCATATTGAAAATAAATGTGTAAAATGCTGTATTATTGCGTCATAAATATTAAGAAAGTTGCAAGTATGCTAGTTAAACTTATGTAGGCTTAGTTTAAATCTTTGTTTGTATTCCGAAAGTGATGTTAGAACTAGAAGCCATACTGAAATGAATTGTAGGGGTTGTTTAGTACATGCTTTATGTTTTATACTTCAAGTATTTTATTTTGACAATGTTAATTCACAAAGTACTCAAAACGAGGTATGTACAAGGTTTTGACCACAAAACTGTCCGTATGTTCACTGTTGACATTGTGTTATTAATTACCATTGATACCAAGTTCCCTTTTCAAGTTTTTTGGGGAATGGGGGATTAACTCGTTAACATTTGGCTTTGTTTATAATTCCAATAAACTTATTGAACTAGTAGAACCAAAAGTGGGCTGAGGAAGCCCGAAAAGTAACATTAAAATTTTTAAGTTATCATAGAGATTAAGCTAAACTACACATCGATAATATTAATAGTACGTTCTCATTTATATAAATTGTTCTTTATGAATTATAGGCTTTTCCTAATACTAATATTTTAATGTTTTAATAATTATTTTACATTACTTAGCAATTTGCCATCAACTCTCGCCCATTGAGGCTTACACATATGTGCTAATTAGTAGCTTATGTAAGTGTAACACATTGTGGGTGTTTGAACATCAAGATTCTGCCAATTTCAGCATCATAGTGATCCAGGAAATGTACAAGGTGACTGCTTTCAGCACTCACAGCACTTAACTGTCTGCAAAAATTTTACTTTTTCAGAAGTCTCACTCAAACAGATTCAAAAAAATTGGCAGCCCTGCTCATACACAATAAAGTTAATACAAGGGAACTTCAAGTAAACATTTGACTTGCCACCAACCCAACCAATAACAATCGTTTTTTGAATTTTCAAAATATGGACAGAGTTCCATGTGGAGGTAAAGCTTACTTATGTTATGATGACCACAAATATAAAAAAAGTAATAACAACAAAACCAAAAAAAACAGAATGAAGAGAATATAAAAACCACAGACAGAGCTTTTGCTACCAGTATACAAGGCTGGCCTTAGGACAAGGCCACTGAGGCAACCGCCTCAGACCCCACACCCTCCTAGGATTGGCTCTGTCAGTATAAACATTATTTCACAAGTCAGGATGATGGATTACACTTTACACCATAATTTCAATTTAGAAAAAATAAACTTTTTGTCTAAATGTTTGTATACTGTAACTGCATGTTTTATGTATGAATCAAAAAATTCATTCTGAAAAAAAAAATGCTATACTGCTTAAAAGCAGATTTTTGCCTAGCAGTTTTGTTTGTAAACTAACCTGACCTCTGGAGAACCCTTGGAAAATGTTTGTAAGTTTAATTTGTGGAGAGAAATTTATAAAGAAAGGTCACTTGAAAACATAGTAAACATACTTGAACCTTGCTAATAGCATTCCAAACAAATAACATTTTAATCATAACACAAGAAAGCATTTTCCTATGTAACTCTGAACTAGTTTTTTAAACGGATACCAAAAAATTTACATAACAAGAATATAAATAAATAAGGTTATTTGGCAAATCAAGTTCATTCATCACCCAAAACTTCAAATCTAAGTTAATTGTAGCATACTTGTTCAGCAAAACTTTAAAATAATTCAGATTAACAGGACATAACATATAAAATTTAAGGCCAACAAGGGATTTATTGGCTCATCTGGGCTATCTCATACTCTAACAGCCATCCCTTATCATACCTCACAGAAATTTGGCTTATATAGTTATTACTATATAAGAAACCTAATTTTTGTATATTAATCTAGCTATTACTATTAATAACTAAAATACATATTAAGTAAATTTAATACTGTAAATTATTATAACATACACAAACAGATATAAACTTGTATCTTATTTAGTATGTGTGGCAAGTTCTGGCTAGTCATTCAGAGAACAATGTTTTTTATTTTACTTTTGAAAACTGCATGAAAAGTAGGTATTAAATGCTCATTTTATTAATAACATATCTAGTCTCAAACTTTGGCTGTTGTGGAACCAACTCTACTTGTTTCTACTCTGGATGGCTCATTATATGCTGTTAGTCAGTACACTGGGCTGGTTCATTGGTCCTTCAAAGAAGGTGAGCTTTTTTGGAAGTCATGTTTGTTTAAACACATATCTTTTCACATTGAGCTTAGATGATTAAGTGTATTCATCTTATTTATTGAATTTCATTTAACGTAAACCATTTTAAGACTGATTCTCAATAAAAGTACCACAGAAATTGTTACATTTTACCAGCATGATTTTATAGACTTTGATTTCACTTGAATGCTGTTTCAAATGCTCAACAGTTTTGATATTTCATGGCTTAAATTCAGGAGGTAAGTGATTTTTATAACATATTGAGAAGTAAACAAGCACATGAGGCTCTAGATGAAACATCCAGGTGAATTGAGCACTAGGAAAATTTATTGATAGAATTAGATCAGTTTATAATATTGTCATAAAATTTCTCACAGGAACAAGTAATTTGTAAATATTTTCAGGTAAGAGCCAGTCTTAAAGAAATCCAGTGGTTTGTTGCTTCTCAGAATTATCAGAAAGCTACTGGAGAAAAGTTAATTGGCTAAAAAACCATTGTATCTGTGGGTAATATACTGATGTTTTTAAAAAAAGAAACTGTTATGCTTAGAAACAAAGTAACCCTGAAACACAAAAGACTAGACTGATAGATTTAAAGGATTGATTGGTTAAAGCAGTAATTTGAAAGAAAAAAAATTATTGTTCAGTTTGAAGTTTTATGATAATATGTTTCTTTTGTATAGTAGCAGAATTCAAGCATGATTTCAGTTTCATTGTGGTTTTTGATTGTTAATGATTTGTGTGTAAAAATATTATGATACTATATTCATTACTTGCAGAATAACTCGTTTCTAAAATTTTCCAGAACCCGTTTTGAAAATGTCATTAGATGTAACCAAAAGGTGAGTGAATAAAAGTTAAAAAAAACAAACAAACTGTGCTATGAAATTTAAGAAATGTTGAATTAATTTTTTTATGTATTTTCTTTGAAAATTTACTGATGTCAATTTTCTTAAAATTTTTTCATAAACAGTAAGCTTACAAACTTTTATTAATAGTGTTGTTTATACTGTTGGATTGTGCATATGTGTGTGTATGTATGGTCCAGAGAAGATAAAATGAAATCATTGACAGTAAAGTCATTGTGGTTTATGTATAAATTATGTAAATCTGATTTTTATTTTCTAGATGTATCTACAGTAGTTTTACCTTGTAGATATTATTATCTTTATCTCTCTCTCTCTCTAAGAAAATGCCTTCATAAGTGTTAAAGCTTTGTATTCTAATTTTTCAAAAGTTATATGCATAAAAGTGAAAGCACAAAATTTCAGAAGTTGCCCAATAAGTGCCAATCTTGGTGACTTACCAACAGAACATCTTATTATTTGAAATGCAAATATCCAACATTCTAAAATTGAACCACATGTTTAGTCCTTCTTGCTCTTTTTGGAAGTAGGTTGGGAGTTCTGTTGTCATGGAGATTGGATGCATTCTTTGAGAGTTTCATCACTGCTGGAAGAGTATCTGTAGTTTTGAAGGTTGGTGTATTAGTGAATAGGTTGGATACATTGAATCTTATCATTGTGTTTTATCTGTTGCCTTTGTAATATCTACAGATTGGACTGAGTTTTTAATATGTAAGGATGTTGCACCTGTTAGTGGTGGTGTTATATTTAGAAAACATCGAGCTAAGGGGTGACAAGTTGTATCTCTGCAGTTAACTATGGGATGGAGAGAGTACTCTTGCTTGTGAACTTATTTAAATCACAAATGTGTGGGTGGTACTGTAATGTATTGTTAATTGTTTCTGTACCAAGTTCTTTCTGTTGTTTTTGGGGGGTTGTTCAATGTTTTTATTCTGTGTTAACTGTTGAGTTAGATATTTTTTTTATGTAGTGGTCATCTGCAACCACAGTTTGAGAACTTGATGGTGTCTTTATCCATGGTTACAGTGTCATTACCTTTGTATGGTAGTAGCATTTTTATGGTGATGCCTTTAAATTCACAAGTTCAGTTTTCTGTTAGGTTAGTATTATAATTTGGTTTACATTTCGTGGATTTCTGACTGTTGACCATATTTTGATTCATTGTGATTTTTGTTGTTCTTCTGGTAGGTTGTAACTTGTATCTACTGTGGTTGTAGCTATTTCTAGGATGGCTATTTTATTTAGTACACTGTCTTCAGATTCTCCTAGTGGTTCTTTATTTAATTTATAATTGTGAGTTTTTAGGTATGTCTGTAGTGTTAGGTAGCTTCTTGTTTTGATAATTGATGAATGAATTCAGTTTATTGTTGAAATTTTCTTAGATTGTGAGTGTGTTGGTATGATTGTGTGTATTGATAGGTAATTTAACCGTAAATTATATATATTTATAGAGGAATGTTGAAATGTTCCTCTATTTTAGCTAATTTACAGTTAAGTCTTTCTAAGTAAAGTTGTTTGGTTTTAATCGAATCACTAACTTTTGGTTTTCAGTTATTGATATCTTATATATACTGTGATATACAAATCGCTTACTCCTGTCTTAGCTTTATATTTTGTGTAGAAATGCAATTACAGTTTATACAAGATTTCACAGTAGTGTCATAACAACTGGAAAATTATTATATTTTAATTCATTGGTCTGAAGTTATTGTATACAAGTGCATGAAGCATTGTTGTATTTTGTTATTTATATACTTTTTTGGTACTGTCAGAATATAAAAATCTGATCTTCACCAATTGTCAAAATAAAAAGGCTTTTAGTTATATTTCTTAATAGTATAAATATGTACTATGTTTTTGTTGAGCTTAGGATTCTTCTACAGTAGGTGTCTGCGACTTGTTAGTGATAAATTCAACAATGAATAAACAGTAAACACACTTCATTTGTTTTCAAAATAATATATATATATTCAGAACAAGTTAACGTATGAACAGTAAATTCTTCAACACTATAGATATTATGAACCTATCATAAATACTATATATGTAGTTCTCTCCTTATTAAATATCCACTTAGGCCTATTCAATTACTTTAGAATTTCATTTGACAAGCTGAACCGTCTTCTCTATTTCTATTGCACTAGTATTCTATGTGATTCACTTACAAGTTACAATTGTGGCGTGAGTTACCGTAATTGTTTGGTCTTATTTCTTTTGAAGGTCCTCTGCTCCTTTTGTTAAAGTGTACTCAGGCTGATTCAATTACTTTAGAATCACACTTTGATGGAACAAAATTATTTTTCTTATCTTCCATTCTGCTTTTAGTTTGACTCTAACATATTAAACCTTAGGCCTATCACTTCTATGGTAGTTAACTTCACACCAACTTTATTCACTTTGCTATTATCTGTCTACTGCTTCCCTCTCACCTCATGCTATTTACATCTATATTATCTAATCATCTGTCCACCTTCTATATTCTCGACATCAATGAATTATTCACAAAACTTCCTACAATCGTCTGCTTTTAACTCTTATTATAACAAAAACTAAACAATAATAAAACATTCACTCACAAAACTAAATTAATCAATACTATCTAAATGAAAGTCTTTTCTATCATGACAGTTACATAAAGCTTAATCTATACTACTAAAGTTCAGAGTTGGTGTATTCAAACCTTTAAAGACAAATCTAATACAGGTTTTTACTAAGTTTGTGTTTTAAATGCTTTTGTGTACCAGTTCTGTAAATGTTAAGTATTTAGTGAACTCTGTAATTTGTAGTCTCTTTTGTACTTTTAGACCAACCTTCCTTCCAAACCCTCAAGATGGAAGTCTTTATGTCTATGGTGTTGTTGATGGAAGACAATCGCTCAAGAAGCTCCCATTCACTATTCCAGAGTTAGTAGCTGCCTCTCCATGCCGTAGCACTGATGGGATACTGTATACAGGTAATTTATCTTGTGTTTTAGTGTGAGTGTGAATCTGTCTTTTTAATATATTTCTGGATTGTGTGGCACATTTTAATAAAGTACTTACTCTTTTGTTTTACATTGTTCAATATTTATAGTTTGGAGATGACATAGTCTAATGATGACATAATCTTATCAAAACTTTGTACATTTATAATAAAGTTTTCTTCATTACCCATTCAAGCCATCTCCAAACTTTTATTTTGTAAAAAGTGGGTTCCTCGTCATCAAATTGTCCTTTTTTTTTGTATTACTAAAATATTTTATTACTGAACTTGGGAAAAATAATTACCGATTAAACATACCATTGCACATTATAACCTTAAAGCTACTCACGACTGAAATGTTCTCTGTCATTTTATTATCATGGTGAAATCATGTATTGGCAGAAAGCATTTACCTTTAGTGGCTGTGTAGTAATATTTGTTAGCAAGAAAATATTGGGTTATTGTTTCTTCACAGATTATCACCTTATTAAAAAACTGGAGTTTTGCCTAGTTAAAGCTGATTTTGTGAATAGTAATATAGTTACTATCGGCCTGAACATCATCATTATTTCATACGGGGAACATATTATTTGTATCTATTAAACTTAATTGTAGAATAACAGTAAAGTTGTAATTTTAGTTAGTAGAATTGCAGTACTTAAGCTAACTCCTCTCTTAGCACGTACTGAAGCTTGTCTGCATTTCTCTTATACTGTTAAACAGAATTAAACAGTATTTTACTCAAAACTGTGAAGAGAGTTACTTAAGTAAAAATGTGTCCAGCCTCGAGATAGATTATTATTCAGACTGGAAGACAGATTGGAAGTCCCCACATACCATACTTGTCTGCATTTCTCTTATACTGTTAAACAGAATTTTACTCAAAACAGTGAAGAGAGTTACTTAAGTAAAAATGTGTCCAGCCTTGAGATATAGGTATTTTTTAGTATCCAAGCATTTGTTTTAATGACAGCCTTGAAGGGACCAATTCAGAAGACTCATTTTTATATAAAGTGGCCTAAATGTTATTGTACAGAACTCATCAGTATATAAGAAAATTGAATACCATTTTATAGAGAATGTTAACTATTCATAATACTATTAATTATACTTGTTGTAAGACATCCTATGAGGCTTATTATAATTTTTAACACTACATTCTAAAACTAGTCCCTTAGGGATTTTAAATAATTAAAGGAGTGTACTATAATAGTATTTTAACCACATTATATTCATCATATACAATGTCGACGACATGTTTTGCTCAGTCCAGAGATTTTCAGGCTGACTTTGATACAACAAACACAATATTGGTCAGTTATATACTTTAGCTTAACTTGCATATTCTACTGCTCTAAAACTCTTTAAAAAAAGACATAAGAAAAAATACAAACGTTTAAATAAAATAAAACATGAGTACAACAACACATCTAACTTCACAAACTCAGAAAAAACAACACAAACATTTAACTTAAAAAACATTCATACAACAACACATCTAACTTCATAATGTCAACAGATCTAGTATTTTAGTCAGAAACTAAACTGCTTTTAACCTGTTTCTTTGACAGAAGACAACAACTAATTAATGAAAACATTTATAAAGACTTCCTATTCACAACAAAAAGGATAAATGGCAATAAAATGTATCATTTGTTGCCAGAAAGTTGTCATTAATTGTGATTAACTTAGCAT